TTGCAACTAAGCCTGACCAAGTAGTTTGGTCCCTTGGCTACAAAAAGATTTTTACTACTAAATACTTTTATGAACATAATGGAACCTTGTTGGCTGTGATTTTAAATGGATTTGGAGTGCTAAATTCCCTTTAAAAATCCTGATATTTTTTATGTAAATCGTGTGGAAGAATCATACTCTTTGTGCATGTGGGTGACACTGAGAAGTAATAAATGTTGAGGAAATCATCACTGTGAAAGCAAGGATTTGTGAATATGGACTTGATGGTTGGTTTTATTTTTTTCAGGCCTCGAGTGTGAGAGAAGTTAAACACCCCAAGTTATTTTTCACAACTGCACCATGAAGAGAAAATAAATAGAATGAACTCAAACGACATGCTACCACATGACGGTTGCAACCAACCGCACGTCACCGTGTTCTTGACTTGTCCACAAGCGTGGCGCAACATGTGATTATGCTCAGCGATAAGTATTTTCATCCCTTTAGCATTTAGCACTACTTCTAGTCAGCCAATCAAGGAAGACAAAATAAGGTGATTTTTTTGCAGCCAGTAGGATATATTATGCAAGGATAGTTGTCGCAAAAAGAAAAATATGAAATGATAGTAAAATTAAATTAGTAATACAAATACTCTGATTACATTAGCCTAGCCTAGAAACAACAATGATTCACCCACTCACTAATCCTAGCTAGAACGCTTATGAGCTCGACCAAGATAGAAGGGCAACTCGAGGTTAGATGCTGGAAGCCGTCGGTGACCATCATGACAGCCAGGTGTGCCAGAGCGGAAGATCAAAATAATGAAGGGGAGGAGACAAGTGAAGGGAAGGCGGAGGTGAATGACGTGGAGACCCGGGGCTTTCCAACAGGAAAAGGGGAACAAGGTTAAGGAAAAGCACACAGGTGGTGGGAAACGGGAGGGGCGAAGGACGTCGACGCCATTAAACCAGTGAACCCCAGTTATTTTTTTGCCTCCTAGCCCTTATATTGGTAGATTTTTTTTAAAGGAGGGGTGAATAAGGAATGGTTGTTGTAATGCTTGTAACAAGAAATTTTAAATATCAACACATGATATGGTCTTGTTGTAACAATGTGGTTACACAACCTAGTAAAGGTCTTCATAGGTGCACCACCTAGTAAAAGCCCTCATTGGCTTGCGAAATAATTTGGCGGCCTTTCATACGGTGAGTTTCGATGAGTCCTTGGGCGCCTGCTGCCATGAACAAAGTGGTCGCCCACTGCAGTAGGTATTGAAAGTTTGTTGGGCATTGGCAGCTCAGGAGCCTGTCCTGGAGGCTGAAACGGGCGGTAGTTATTCAGCGGAAACTGATGCATAATTCGTCCAAGGGCAGCTGTGTTAACCATGGGGTATGCTGGATGGGCGTTCATTGGACCTGATGAGATCCAACCGGCAAGATGTACCGAGTTAGGTTGGAAGGTTGGTTGATGCTGCAATGGCAATGCCTGCTGGTAGTTGACATAGTCTGAGCGTGTGCAATCAACATACCCAACATGACTCCCATTGTACCTAGTAGTTAATGTATCCAAGAAGCCAAAGCTTTGATGGGATGTCAAGTTTGACCCACCATTCTGAGCTCGATTTGGCGCAATAACCACTTCCTGGGCATGAGAACTCGGGCATCGATTTCTAGTCACATTTACGGAGTGGCTTGCCTGTACACTTTGGGGGTAAGCATCTAGATCTCGATTTGGCATATCAATTACATTTTTAGGACAAGACCTGAGTTGTTGATTTTCGGTTACAGTTCCAGAGCTGCTTGCTCGTAAAATCAGTCACAAAGCTGGAGTGTTGCTCAGATACTTTGACAACACACAGGGAAAGTGGGAGCAGTGGTCATCCAATTCAGCAGCAGGGCAGGGTACCATTGTCTTCAGTATTTTATTTCCCATGTCAATAGAGATCATTTGCGCCTTCTTGATGTCCAACCTCACCAAGCAATTCATGTGGACAACATCATCACCATTGATGCTCAGGGTGGGGAAAGATGGTAGCAAGTTCATTATTGATGAGTTACCAGCAGTTTTGTCCCCAAGCCCAGCCAACAAAGCAGAATGGTCTTGGTTCACAACCAATATGTCATCACCATGAACACGGCACCCCCTGCGCCAACCATCGTCCGAAAGGAGTCTTTTCCATATGACGGACCTCCAACCAATT